CTATATAACACCGTCTATTCAGAATCCGTTGCCACAGCAAAGGGCGTCGTTTGGTGACCGTTACCCAGCAACGGGTCTACAGTCTACGATATAGTAACGGTCGTGCTTTAAAGAGTTAATGCCACAGAATTATTATAAAATATCCCTAGTGCATCGGTAGTCCAATATGTAAAGTATTTCGACTTCAAAACAATTACCTTCCAAGTCAGTAAATCAGCTCTGATAGCAATGAGCAGACGTTCCTCAGCCATCTCAATATGTCGAGCAGTTAAATGAAGCTGATACAAACCTCTGGCTCACCATTTATAATCACCATAACGACAAATCGGTACTTCAGGATCCATCATGTCCTTTGCAGACATCCTTTGCAGTGTGAACATCCCCTCATCGAGGCGTTCCGCTGACGGGGCTGAACAATATTAAGAACGGGTGTCTTAAAGGTGTCACGAATGTTCACCTGCTAGGGCTAAACTAAATCACCAGCTCCATGAAGCTGAGTCCTTCTTGAGAAGCCTCCAGTCGCTCAGCTACTCAAGAATTCCCCAGCATTTTATGGAACCCGAAGGTTCATCACCAAGTTCACCTGAGTTCACAACACCCCATCCTCCTTTTTTTTTAAGATCCATCTTAATATTATCTTCCCAGTTACGTATAAGGTTTCCTAGTGACCCCTTTCCTTTGCTTTTTTCCGACCGAAACCCTATATATATATATTTCTCTACCCCATGAGTGCTACATCCCTGCCCATCTCATCATCCTTGACTCGATTATTCTAATAATATCTGTGGAAGAGTGGCTCTGATAGGGCTAATGCGATTTGTTTTCTTGAGCCCTGGAAAGTTCATTTAATCTTGTAGAACGCGTAGGCGTTTTAATGCTACGGACAACTCCATTGCAATACAGTGAAAAGAAAAATCAATGTTATTTTCGGCATCTTACTGATTTTTAATTTAATTTTGTCCACATATTTTAATTTTCTTTATAGATTACATGTAATGAATGAGCTTTTCCATATCCAAATTTCTGTAACTTACTGGTTCATATCTCGGAGATCTTAAACCTCTTCTCGGTTTCAGTTTGTATTTCAATATTTTCTTTTTACACATTTAATCTTCCATTCTTTGAAAGTTATGCATTTCTATTGCGGCGTGCAGGCCAGTTGCTGGACAACGAGACAGACAGGAGTCCAGCATCAATGTATGGGTAGGGATTATTGGTGAGTGCTTGGTAAAAGTAAGGTAAAGCTATCCCTGTAACAGGCTGTGGAGGCCCAAAGGGTTGTGAGATGTTAAGGTTCTCACATTTCCTAGAAAATCGGCTCATAGATGGCGGTAAGTTTGTCAGCCTTACTCGCCGGCCGCCCTTTACACCCAAGATTATGCTTGGTAGGTCCGCATATTCTGCAACATCGGCTTAGTGACAACCACAAGCGAGACTCCCTCTTACATGATCTGCCAAAGTACCACTGGCAGTGAGAGCACGGGTGTGGCGCATGCGCGATGGTGCTCCGGCACGTTTCAGCCGTGCTCTGCGAGATGTTCCCAATAACNGCCCTTTACACCCAAGATTATGCTTGGTAGGTCCGCATATTCTGCAACATCGGCTTAGTGACAACCACAAGCGAGACTCCCTCTAACATGATCTGCCAAAGCTACTGGAAGCTGTACCACTGGCAGTGAGAGCACGAGTGTGGCGCATGCGCGATGGTTCTCCGGCACGTTTCAGCCGTGCTCTGCGAGATGTTCCCAGTAACACTTATCATGACCGATGGACGAGTAGAGGAACATTCATTGCATGGCCTCCACGCTCGTCATATTTGAATCCTCTCGATATTTACCCGTGGGAACACCTGAAACCCCCTTGTGTATGCTGCTCCTATTGACAAACAAGAGGCACTTCACAGCACTGTAGCTGCCTATCAGACTATCCGCAACTGCCACGGCATCTCTGTACGGATGCGGCGGTCCGTGATGAGACGTGTCGAAGCAAGCGTAGAATCTCATGGAGGACATTCTGAGCACTTATTATACATGCACTCTTCCAGCGATACCTCATAAATTAAATGTTTCCGGACACATGTTGATATGGACAATTGTTCTTGTTTTGGTACATGGAACTTATATTCAATAATTATCCTCACCTCAACATTCCTCTACAGGGCCTGTCAGAGCATCATCAGTGGATGACTTCTCTACTCAAGACACCTACTTAGAACAAATCTACTTATTACTCTATATTATCGGGAGTAGAGTGTAAATATGCTATTAATTAAATAAATAAAAAACCTTTCAGTTACATCCTATATAGATATGATGTCATTATTTACCTCAGTTGTGTTAATGAAGAAGCAGGAATATATTATATATTACTTTCAAGTCAGCTAGGAAATGTCTTTTTTCATTTTCGCAATCTACAAAACACACACTTAGTTAACATTTAACAAATATTCTCCATCTTTCATTCTTAGCCAGAGATTTGCCTAATTAATGCGGCGTGCCTAATCAATTACAGGCATACTTTCTTCACAGATCTCTTGTTCCTGTTTTTGGCTACGCGTTGGACCTAAGTTGTTCTGGACTAGTAACCATGTTATTGTTTGATTACGCATGAATTAACTCACTGTTTGTGGCCGCGCCATAGCTCAAGCGGTTAGTCGCTGGCCTCCCACCGCGCCGGCCCGGGTTCGATCCCGGGTGTGGTCAAGTGGGATTTATGGTGGACAAAGTGGCGCTGGGGCAGGTTTCCTCCGAGTACTAAGGTTTCCCTTGCCAATCTTCATTCCACCAATTGCTCCATAATCATTCTTACCTATCATCTGGGGCTGGTATAATAGGCCCTGTACAAGGGACTTAGTCGCTCCCCACTAACACCCCACTTCTGTAATAAAAATGTAATTTTACTCTTTTGTCTCTATAATCTTATTTTTTTGGTACTGAATGAATTTATTTAAAATGTTATGCTCATCACAAATGTGGTTCTTGAATTAATGCGGTTTTTCTTTCTATGTCAAGGGTTCGTTTCTGGTCTCAATATGATATCCTGCATTCATGGCCAAACAGCGACTGCCTACTACGAAGCTTAGGATATGAGATCATGAACATTTCTTCAAATATAAAAAGATTAGCTGGAGGCCGTCCAAATAACCGCCGAACCCATAAAATAACCAAGTGCATTATGGATGTTCATTTATAATTTATATCCAACTAAAAATGAGAAGACTGGGAGTTTGTCGTGTAGAGTATAAATAGCGTCCCAGTTCTTGGGCTTCAGTATTCTTCTAAAACGTTTCATGTAAATCTTAATATTCTTTTAAAAAGTCACTTGTGTGATTCGTCGCTAATAAAAACACCAAGAAGGCTCCCCTGTCATCAGTTATAATAGGTACGTACATAAAGCAACATATATACAAATTCATGTCCATGTGTCTTCCTAACTTCACGAAGTGGAGAACTCTGGGTAGGTCACATTTACTTAGTGATCCCTGATTACTGAGGTCGCTTTCTTCCGTTCAGAACAAAGCTCAAATTCTGCGCTGATTGTTCAGCCATGCCGATATCTGGAACAATGTTCGGACAGTCATACAACTTCAGTTTGTAATGTGTCAAACTCTTGTTGTCACTATAATATAGCTACTGTTTTGAAAAAGGCGAACTTTGAGTGAAGCATCATGAAAACAAGCATTCACATCTGGAATACACGCGCCAGTGAAGATGACAACTGAGAAATATTTTGAGAGATCCCGGAATTTTTACCGGAAACGGTACTTCATTTACGTCTTTAGATCATTATTGTACTTCAGTCCTTTCTGAAGTATAGGAAATGGTTTGAAAGCCGACACAATAAATGCATGTATTAATTGGATTAATTCCGTCTTGACTTTATTATATTTAAGCGTCCTGTTACACTCTACACAATATATGACACAAACTCCGTCCTAAGTGCAACAATTTATTGTAGTTCTTTCGTCTTCCTTTCTTCTACACTACATGTATCGGCCGTAAATGGCCCTCATCAGGCGTATACTCTCACGTAACTGCTACACTGCACGTAGTTTAAAATTTAAAAAACACTAGTCTTCCCAATTGTTCACTTCTCCGTTACTAACAGGTTTCGATATATCAGAATCCTCCCCGCTGATATCTATCAGATATGTATTAAAGTCACGTATTAAAGATAAGCAGCGGCACGCACACAGGGAGCCTACACAGAATAATACCTGAACAGTGCTGAAAACAAGAAGTAGCCGCTGCAGCACTATGGACATAGGGCGGGTACCCCGGAGAATTTTAAATTTTAAAATCTGAAAAAAAAAAAAAAAAAAAAAAAAAAANTTTAAAGAAATTTTTAAATTTGAATCGAAGATTTTAAAAGTGCCAGTTTGTGAAAATCAAATTGACATGTGTAGGTTAACAAAGATTTTGTACATATCTGACATATATCAGCGGGGAGGATTCTGATATATCGGAACCTGTTAACAACGGAGAAGTCAAGAACTGGAAAGACTTGTGTTTTTTAAATTTTAAACTACGTGCAGTGTAGCAGTTACGTGAGAGTATACACCTGATGATGGCCATTTACGGCCGAAACATGTAGTGTAGAAGAAAGGAAGACGAAAGAACTACAATAAATTGTTGCACTTAGGACCCTTAGGACGGAGTTTGTGTCAAATATTCCGTCTTGACTATTTTTTCTCCACTACCTTCCATTGCACCATCCAGTCAGTACAGTACTACGAATGTTACTGGCGTTATGTAACTTAAGTATCTGCTGCACCGTTTGTATGTTGCTTATGAATTGGATTACCTCTGAGAATGTTTCTTGTTTCAGCCTATTTAGCAATACTACCACAGGAAAATATATTGTAACCTGGTTCAAAGTGTATATGCTGCTTTTGCAGCAATTGGGGTAAAAAGTCATGTGCTTTTATAGCGCACCGTAAGTTAACAGAGCTACCGAAGAGCGCGTCCAGCGTAATTGTAGTACTGATCTTTATGCGATAGGTGGCAGCACAGACACGCTGCGGAGCCGGGCAATGGTACCTCTCAGTGTGGGGAAGTATGAGCTTGTGTGAAGGTCTGGAGTGAGCAGTTGTGGTGAGTAGCGTGTGTTTGCTTAGTATTTTTGCAGTAATCGTAAAAACTAGCTTAGAGAACCAGGACTAGATCTGGAGCATCAAGGATTACATTGTGTGTAAGTACACAAGTTATCTTATCTTTCAGTGTTTGCATTTTTATCGTGACTGCAAACGCTAGCGAATTCCTAGAAGCGGTCGGTTTTGTTGGAAGGTTGCGTTGGTGGCACTAGTATTTTAGTACACTCGTATTGACCGCCCGTACGGTTAAATTTTCGATGTCTTGCTTTGTGACGTCACACGAGTAAGTTCCCATCACATAAAAAAGAAGCTATAGTAGTTGTGGTATTTGTTTGTAGTTTCAGAAATAACAAATACGAATTGAATGCATAATGACATCTCAAAGTTCTGCTGTCACTTTTCTTGGCGTAAAAACTGCAGCAATATCGGTAATCGTTATTGATCGTGTACATATAATGCATTCACCAGTGTGAGAAGTGTGTGATAACTAGCTTGTAGTGATTACATAATACAAACCAGAATCTCCGGTTAATGCTGAGGTTAGGAACGCATCGAATGGCCTTTACGTCTTGACGTGCGCAAGGGCATGATTTATTTCCTGCCACAGGAAGATCCAGTGTATAAGAAACTGAACGTTTAACATTTGTGAATATTAAAAATATTTAAGACCAATTTTTAGAAAATGTAATTTGATTCTTCAGACACTTTATAAACTGCAATCCACGAACTTCACCGGTAAATGTTGAAGTGGGTTTTTAAAACGATATGTCAAAGAATATTGCAGTGATACGTTATTACTGCACAGATGAATTAATTTATCGGAACTTTGATTTGTCCGTTAACATTCTTTATATGTTATAAATGTGTATAGTTCTTAAGCTATTTATATAACATTCCAACGCAGAGAAAGCAGTGTTTTTGCTATGCATTGCCCTATTTGTTCACCAGGCAGGAGTTTTTCTTTTATAATTGAGCCTGCCGTGTGTCATGCATTAACATTTTGTTAATTGCTGGTACCTTACCTGTGCCGTGCTTTGAGGTGAACACAAGTGTTTGTATTCTCAGTTCTCATATTCTTTAATATGCAGTTGTGTATGTATATACGATAGAGGGCGGACAATGAAAGGGGCAGAGTTATAAGTAAATTTTTTTCTTTTACTTTCCATGTTTCTTCTGAATTATGTTACTGAGAGAAAGTTCAATTATTATAGTGATTTGACTACATAACTGTGAAGTATAGGTTTTATTGTGCGCAGTTTAAAACGTTACTATAACAATATACCCCTCCCACGAAAAGTTGGGTTTCCCATAGTGGAATTTTACAAGTAGTGTATTTCATGTTAATATTTCCATTGTGTTGATAGTTGCCCGTATGTCATTAAGACGCATATGGGTAATTCAGCCAGAATACCACATGTATCGAAATTTGAGCCAACCCGCAACATCTTGTAATTTATTAGCGCTAATTTTGTGACAGTTGTCGTCCCTTACTGACTCGTAGTCACTCCATGTTGTGGTACCATTGTATCACTAGGAAGGTAATGCGTGTTTTCTGTCTCGGCCGACGGAAGCCGCTGCAAAAATACAGTTAGATCCAACAAATACTGGTACTTGAGTAGCTAAAAATAATGACGCTCTTACATAACAAGCATCTCCACAACCTATCCGACTGTTCCCGGCCTCGTGGGACCCACAGCAGAGCTGTCCTGTTTTGTTTCGTAGTGGCCAGAATAGTCAACCAGGAACCGAAAACAGTTCGCTTAATCCTCTTTAAATTGAAGAAAAATCCAGTTTTGGGAGTAAACCTTGCCTTTTATTTTTCTGATATTTTCGTATAATTCCGCCTTCATAATTTAGATTATTTTAATTAGAGCTTAATGTAGGCCTTACCTTTCGTAATTTGTGGTGTGTTCGTAAAACTGCAACAAATATTGTGTCTGTTACCACGAAATTTATCTTGGAATATTCTGTGTCATATCCGTATGTGGAGCAATGACGTATTCTTGCCAAGTGACAAATACACGCGTGAGTAAAAATCATGAATGAGTAATACAGAATTCCATCTGATCATATGGAAATTATAACTAAAACGCAGACTGTGTGGAAACCCAGAGATCTTCCCAAAATGACTCAGATACGGTGTGTGATTTCGAATGGAATGTTTTAAATCACATCTGAAAGGTGTGCACCATGTGATCAAAACTGCAGCGCTTAGCTACATGATATTAGCATTTATCAGTATCTCTGTATTGCCCTGTGGGTTTATTCGGGTCTGTGTGAGTTCCTCCAGCTACTTCTGTCTTCATGGCGGAGCCCTTTAAAGCGAAAGAACCCTAGCGAAAATTACTAGCAGTAATGGAAACATTGAAACGCGCCTACTGTGACCGAATTATGGAGATACGCATTACTAATCCGCAACGCCTATGCCCCCATTGTTGGAACCATAGTCGCCAAGGCCAGTAGTATAAGTAGAAGAGCTGTTCCATCGTGTTGGAAATTAAAATGGGTCTGAAGAATGCCGTCTTCTGGGATGTGGCGCCGTGTAGATCTTGTGTGATTCGACGTTTCAGAGGAACGTATCGCCTCCATCTTCAGGGTAGAAAAATCCGCAAGTGAGGAACCAGCGTGTGCAGTTGGCTGCATTCTACACGGCGCCACATCCCAGAAAACGGCATTCTTCATAGTCACCGCTGTGAAAACCTCAAATCATAAAACGTATCTATATGACTTTTTCATCTCCGGAGAAAGCAAACCTGAAGTAATGAAATCGTTGTATAGTGAAGCCTTTATGACTGGCCTCAAAACAAATTCGTAATCATGTTTGAATTTATAGGTATGCTGTGCAGATGAATATTTAATTGAAATGTGCGTGCTGCGGCAGCTCTTACTTTGTTAACATTTAAACTGCGTTTCTTTCGAGATAAAATGAAAGGGAACGAACGCGCCAGAATTGTTAACGCAGTGCATACATTTCCTAACTTGTTTGGATGTAACTGGCGTATTGCATGGTAGCGTGCAGATACACTCTCGGCCACGAATAAGTAGTAATGCAATATTTTACGTGTGTTGAATAAAAAAGGAAACAACCGTTTTTATTTTCTTAATTAACCATATAGAAAATCTGTGCGCTTGCATGTATATAATGTATTGTCACATAAATTACGACCGCATCTGTGGTCTAGTGGTCAGAGTTCCTGGCTACAGATTCAGATGTCCGGGTTCGATTCCCGGCGCTGCCAGATTTTCAGAGAAGTAATGGGTCTGGAACGGGATATACTGAGCCTCGTGAGGATAATTGAGGAGCTATTTGAAGGAAATAGCGGCTCCGGTCTAGAAAACCGAGATTAACTGCCGTGAGAATCCATTGCGCTGACCACGTGACACCCTCTATCCGAAAAAGTTGGCACTAACTTCGCCGACAAGCGGCGGTCGCTCGGTCGGTATAGTTCGCTTGCAGACTAAAGGCCACGGAGTTAACTATAATTTATGTAAGTTTCATTGAAGCTAATAGATTGATTGTGATTGAGAACAAGGCGCTGTGGATAATGTTTGGACGCAAGAGGAATAAATCGATGCTGCAGAAAACTGATTAATGAAGATATTCATTGCTGTTCTACAGCAAGTGTGTGTAAAGAATATCTTTTTCAGTCTTCATTTTTAAAATAATCACAGTTTAGGTTTTTATCGATTTAGATAGTGGACAGAAGAAGACACGCAGCACAACACACAATAAGAGAGAACACAGTGTACCAACATAAACACATATGCGTATCGAGAGGAACTATGTATTTAACAATATAAGCAACAACAGAGGACAGCACTTTCCTCGCCAAAACTTTGAACACCTGATGATGACCACATTGGTCGAAACATGCAGTGATGGATTTTGAAGGTGAATAAGTTTTATTAAATGTTATAGAACATAGTGTTGCAAGCGAGAGTGTAAAAACTAATCGACACTAAGTGAAAAGTGCACGAGAATGCTACGGTGTGATACTGCGTTAAGATGGGGTCCCGTGACACGCTGTTTTGTTCACTATAGCGGACCTTCGTGGCCCATGAAAATAAGAAAATGCTTGAGCAGCTAAATAGCTGTCAAGTTCTAATGGTCCTGATCATGTAGTTAGTTAAACGACCTTTAGCCGTCACTGTTTGAAGTAAACGTAGGCAAGTCTAAATAGCGCCAGTTAACATTAAAGAGTGAGCCATATCTGTGAATTAATGCCATCATTTAGGCTCTAAGCACATTTGCCAACATTTTAGTGTACACTAGCGATTTCAGTGGCCTTACGTGTTGACGTCAATGGATCCTTTTCTTGTGTGTGTATTGAGCTGTCTTTGAACCGTACCTATATGCACGTAGCAGTGCGCGGAGTGAAGGCTACATGTATACTGCAAGCCGTCTCTATGAATGCACGCGTACAATGGCGTTACCTTGAAGTCCGCAGTCCTTGCTTGGTATCTACTGGTTTCAAATTCAGTGACTTCTTGGCAGACAAACCTTCCTTTACGGAAAAAAAAAGTTTATGAGGTAATCGTGTCTGTGCTCTACATTAAATTTTTGAACCAGTTAAACTATATTTACGAAACTTGGTAGGAACGTTATGTCGTACTTCGTAATTTTATTCAGTCAGTAATAACAATATGGGGGACGAGCGAACGTGGGAGGTAAGAAAATACCAGTAATGATTGTAACAGATCTTTGCGTCTGTAAATCTATTCAGTAGGAAGACTTTTTGAGTTGTGTTTGGATCTCCTTGTTTCGGTATGACCGTAACTAAGCAAGCTTTCCCCTACCATAAACTGCTTACAGAGCAATGGGTAGGATCCTGTTGTGAGTCAGGTCATTAAGTGGGCGTTTTCCCTAAGGTATCCTAACCAAAATCACTTTCTCCATTTTTTGTTTCTCATTACACGTTATATGTAATCTTCACCCACCATTCTTTTTCATGTGACCATGCTAACAATATTCTGCGATGAGTATGAAGTTCCTCGCAGATTTACCCATTTCCCCATGTTCTCATTTTGAAATATTCTAGCGAGAACTTTTCTTTTCAAATAGTTGATAAGTGACCTAAGACATATGTTAACTAATATT